GGGGCACACAGGGGGGGATCGCGGGAGGGGGGGCGGAGCGGGCACCGGCCACCCTGGCGTTCAGGGGGGAGAGCGGCTCCAGACCGTGCATCGGGGAGTGGCGGGGCTGGGGGCAGGCGTCAGGTGCTGGGAGCCTGCCGGGGGAGCACGGTGCACCGGGAGCGAGAGAGGGGACTCGGGTAGCCGGAACCGGAGTGAGCCAGAAACAGCGCAGAGGGGGCGTGCCTTAGGCTGGGTCGGGGGGAGCTGCTCTTCAATCACAAAAAATTACAGTTTTAAAGCTTTGACTTGACGAGCAAAACCTTGAAGCGTGGTCAAGATGTCCCGGACTAGCAATAGGACGTTCATGGGGAATGAGCTTTAATCTCCAAACCCTTGAAAATAAGCAGAATATCCTGGAACATAAAGAGAACATGTGGGCTTGCGCTGAGGATGAGTTATTTGACAGCTTGGTAAAGGGACTATTTGACTCCTTAACTTGGCAATGAAACAAACTTCTGAGTGTGCTGGAAGTGATCTGCCTTAATTATAATACTAAAACAGGTGTATTTGTTGAAAACTCAACCCCTTAAGTCTAAAAGACCCCTGCCCAGGTGAAGACCCCCTGAGCATTTGTAATAATTATTATGTAAGCCATATTATAACTGTATGTTAATCACTAACCAATCAGTATCTAATAGGCATGTTTGGAAAAATACTAATCTCTGATTTTTGTGCATAAAAGGAGCAAGAAAACCTGCTGTTGGGGTGCTCGATTTGTGGAAAATCCAACAATATCTCTCCTCAGCGTGTTAAGATTGATTTATTGCACACCAAGCACAAATCTGCTTTTTGGATAATGAAATCACTAGTGTCTTTTCCCCCTCCACTGGTGCAGAGAAACCCCAATGTCTTCAGCAAAGGACAGGGCAGCTCCAGTGCTGGCAGGGGTGGAGGGGGATGGCAGAAGGCAGTCACCCCTGGCATGGCTCCCGGCTGACAAGCAGCGCTCCCGAAATGCTGGGGGAGCCCTGCGAGGAAAGAGGCAGCGTCAGAAAGGAGTGGCTCTGAGAAGACAGATCTTGGTGGGAAACCAGAACAAGAAGCAGTGAAGGAGCAGAAACAGCCCAGGGGAAAAGCAGCCTGGGTTGTTCATCTCTGGAAGCTGAGCATCCCCCACAAACTGGCCTTTTCCAGGGCCTTTCTTGCAGCCATCAGGCTTTGTGACAGTCCCTGCCCCACCAGCCCCAGCTTTGGTGGGCCTTTCCCCAGCTGCCGCCTAGCCAAGGCCCCAGGCTGCTCCCACCACGGCCGAGAGAACAAAGAGCAGAGACCTCAAGCCAAGTCCCACCTGCTTTATCAGTTGAGACACAGCGTTACCCACGAGCACACAGACATGGGCTGACCCTGCGCAAGGCCATGCTGTTCTGCCATCAACCACGTCCTTCCTCGTCGCTGCTTCCTGCGCTGCCTCCCTGCAGCGTCAGCTCCAGAGCAAGGTCTCGGTCCGATCACGGCCATGCCGGGTGGCCTTGGCTCAGAACTGCCAGATCAGCCTCCAGTGTTCATGTCCCGATGGAGTTGCCACCTCTGGACGTCAGGTGGATTGGAGGAAACACTGAGCTTGGTCCTCACTGTGAAGCAGAAGCTATGATAGGTTTCACCTCCCTTCTCCTGGAGGCATCTCCCAGATGCTGCTGGTGCACGGTGCAGGCAAAGAGCAGCTTGTTCACAGAATCACAGAATCACCTCAGTTGGAAAAGCCCTTGAAGCTCCTCCAGCCTAACCATGACCCTCCCCCTGACCGTTCCCAACTCCACCAGATCCCTCAGCGCTGGGTCAGCCCGACTCTTCAACCCCTCCAGGGATGGGGACTCCCCCCTGCCCTGGGCAGCCCATTCCAACGCCCAACAGCCCCTTCTGCAAAGAAATCCTTCCTCAGAGCCAGCCTGACCCTGCCCTGGCACAGCTTGAGGCCATTCCCTCTGGGCCTGGCGCTGGGTCCTTGGCTCAAGAGACTCATCCCCCCTCTCTGCACCCTCCTGGCAGGGAGTTGCAGAGGGCCAGGAGGTCTCCCCTCAGCCTCCTCTTCTCCAGACTGAACCCCCCCGGTTCCCTCAGCCTCTCCCCATCAGACCTGTGCTCCAGACCCTGCACCAGCTCCATTGCCCTTCTCTGGACAAAGTAAAAGGTTCAGAAAGGCCTCGGATCCCAGGAAAAAAACCCTGCATGGGGACACCAGGGGTTGGGATGCTGATGCCTGCATGATACCCAGCCCCAGGGATGGGCTGACTCCATGCCTGGGGCAGCCTCTGGTTCCTCACTTGGATGCAGGCATGGATTGAGTGCAGAAAGAACCGGGCAAAAGCCACCAGCAATGTCACACAGTCACCCTGCCAGTTTCCAAGGAGGGTGGCAGAGCCTCGGAGAAGTGATGTTTGGGATCTCTCCAAGGGGAAGCTAATCAGACAGCTATTACTTCAGTTACACACCGTTACATGCCCATTACAGGTGTGTTTTAAGCATCCATAGTACCCGCAGCTCCCTTCCCCAAGACCTACTGGTCATCTCTCCCTCCCCTTGCAGGCTGTCACCATACATCAACCCCCAGGCACTGCCACCATGCTGGGCTCTACCATCTCCACGGCCAGCAGCCACGAAACAGGTGTTACCCCAACAAGGCACAGCAGGCTGAGGGTTCATGGGACACAGGAGGAGACTGAGCCACCAGCCTGACCCTGCCAGTGCCTGGTATGGTGCTTTGCACCAAAACTGCAGCAGGATAGCTCACTGATCACTTCTGCGTGGAAAAAGCAGGAGCACATCCCACTGCCAGAGTTATTACCCTGGCTCTGGGGCTTCAAAGGACCTGCCAGGTGGCTCTTGTGTCTCACAAGTGTGCAGGATGTTATTTATCACCCACTGCAGCCAAAGCATCTACCAGGAGACCTCTGGGCCTGAGCTCTGCTCCCGGGACTGTCCATGGGGGCCCCAAAGCCATCTCCTCACCCAGGCTTGGGAGATGCCCATTTCTCTCCCCTGCCAGGGAGCCTGTGGGGAGCAGTTCCTGTACAGAGATCCATGATTACTTAAGGACTGTATCCCTTATTGAATTAAAATTAATTATTAGTAGCCCCCAATAACTTTTCAATACAGGCAGGTGAACACAGTGCCAGGAGTGATCTGTGATGTGGAAGCAGTGGCTGAGGCAGAGGCTCACGCACAAGTGTGTGTCTGTCATCCAAAGCCAAGGATGAGCTTGGGAAGCTGCACGCTAAACATACACACGGGCACTGGGGTTTCATGTAAAAAGAGGGAAAGTAACAAAACAAAGCAAGGGATCAACCAAGCAAGGCAGCATCTAGACCTTACGGCAGCAAGGTGAGGGGCTAGCCAGGTAGTTATAGGTATTTTGTGTGGAAGGTGGGAGTTGAGCAAATCTCCCGTGCCAGAGCTGGGATAAAGGTAAGGATTGCAACAGGCTCCCTGAACATCCCTGCCTCCACCCACACTGTGTCATCTCGTTAATCACCAGCGGGAGGGTGGGGTGATCCCTCCACCTAGCAGCACAGCCCTGCCCCAACACACCGGAAAAAGTGAGGCACGCCCAGCCCCGGGGGGCTTTCCCCCTGCTTGTATTTACACGCTCTAAGGGCCATTCTTGCAAGTTTTTGCTCTTCCGCCTGGCCTGCCTACACTGGGAATGGGGTGGGAGGAGGACAAAGGCACGCAGCGAGCTCTGGGCAGGCTAATCCCCTCGTTGGCATGCAGCTCAACACACGTTTAAGCTTCCCTCCCGGGTGGGTTTGCTGCATGGCTCCTGGAAGGCGCTTGGTGAAACAGCGAGGCTGGTTTGGTGGCACAACCAGACTCCCCGGCCATGCTCTGGGTTGCTCTCACAGCCCGGCGCAGTATCGCAGCATCACAGGACTGCAGCTGACAGCCCTCTAGCAAAAAAGGTGACGTTCTTGTCCTGGATCTTATACTGGTAAATCTGGACGAGATCCTTCTCCACCATCAGCTCCAAGGACACCCTCCTAATTATTTTAATCTGCAAAGGGAAAGGAACAGGTATCCTTTGGCTGCCCCAGTCACAGCATCCTCACCCCCCATGCCCCATGCTGGCCTGCAGGGAAGGGGGAACCACTGATAAAAAAAAACATCACACAGCTGGAGCCAGCCCCCCCAGTGGCAGCCCCCGATGAGACCATGCACTAACCAGACCCCACGACCCACCTGCCCTCACAGCCCAGAAGAGATCACTCCTAGCCAGGCTTGGATCAGGACAGGACAGTTTGGGGAAGCTTCCCAGGAACTAGCTATTTTGCTTTGCCATCAACTTGAGGCAGAAGACAGCCTGCCCTGCTGTATAAACCCTTTCCAGCTTCCAGAGATGGGGGAGCCCCCAGGATGTCCCTGAATATCCCCCCAGAAGTGGAGTCACAGCCGTCAGAGCCCGGATGCTCCAGCAGATCCTTGTGACCAAGGCTGCTCATTAATCCTCAGACGTGCTGCAGGCCAGGCTGGTCTCACAGGGCACAGATGGAACATGTTTTGCCTTCCCTCGGGCGTGCGGGCAGCAGTGTGTGTGACACTAACGTCTGCCACCTCTCTGTGCTCTCCTGTGCATTACCTGCCCATGAACATCCTTGCAGAAGCCAGTTGCCAGCCCCTCTACCCACAGGATCAGATCACTGTGATGACACAGGGAGTTCACAACCAGTTCGTTTTCCTCATCTTCTGAATCCTCATTGCTGTGAACCAGCACCACAATGTTGCCCTGGAAGAAGAGCACCAGACAGCGATGAGCCCCTGGCTGGTTCCTAATCCACTCAGAGTAAGGAAGGGGAGATAATAACAGGAGCTTGCACAAATGCCCTGCTAACAAAGCTACTTAGACACCCCCCAGCATGGCAGCTGGTTCTGACCTAAAGTCCACTGAGAAAACAAACAGCAGGTACATATAGAAAGCACTGAAACAGTTTGAGATAGATATATATATATATATAGATATAGATATAGATATATATCTATATATCTATATATATATATATAGTATTTACACACACACACGCGCATATATACACAATACGCAGCCTAAAAATACATCAAGCCTTTGTTACGAGACAGCTGTCTGGTTAAACCAGTCTGTCAGGCCACGCAAACAGCAACTCTGAGTGAATTCAGAACAGCTAAATAAAGACATGGCCAAACGGCCACAGCCAGAGCTGCAGTGCTCGAACCTTCCCAGCTCTGGCAAGAAGCAAAGAGCTCCCCAACGCAACACCCGCTCTATTAAAAGTACATCCCAAGAGTCTCTGCCTCAGCCCATGCTGAGGTCACCAAGGACTTAAAATAACATGAAATTCCCAATCAATTAAAATGTATTTTAAAGCTTTGGAACATCTTAGATGGAAACAGAAACATGCTAGCACGATTTGTCATCTTTTTTAGCTGTTTTGGAGGTAAATATTCTCGGCAAGCAGAACACCCCTTGTCAGCATTTACAGCACAAACACCCTGGCACCATATGAAGCACAGAATAACAAAACCTGACACCATCTACTTTATTTCTCACTCAAGCAGAGAGAGAAGTGGCTGGGGTGGGGGGGTGCTGCAATGTAAACAGCAAAGGATGGATGTGACAGTAATGATTTTTGGCTGTGGTGCTCTCAGAAGTTAGCACATTGCTGGGGAGATCTTTGTAGAAGTGCTGCATTGTCACATGTCCTTAGAAACCAGCCAGCACAACACACAGCAACGCTGAAGGTTGGTGGAAGCAGAGAGTTGTGTTCCCTCCAAGTGGTCCTTCACATCTGGCTCCTGCAAAACCCATCAAGCCCTTGCTACCTTTATAATTTGCTTCCTTCCCTGACCTCCCACACGCACACAAACGTGGGCATGAGTACAGATCTCTGGAGAGCCAGGAGCTCTAAGAAACTGTATTTTACACCTCAAATCCAGGCTTCCAGGTCAGGGACAGACTGAGCCCTTCTCTGAGCAGCACCTCCTGGGAAACCAGTTGCAAAGGTCCCTATGCAGGTACTCCAGGGACTAACACAACACCCTGAGTGAGGACCTAGAGCAACGACTTGAATTTCTTAGACAGCCAAAGCCTTTCAAAGCCTCATCACGCACAGCTGGGAAAAGCCAGGCTTTGCTCCAGAGGCTCTTCCGTACATGTAGCATACAGGAGGCTGCCCAAGGAGGGAGCAGTACCTTCAGCTGGGAGCACACCACGACCCTGCAGTAGTGGATGAAGTCCAACACCGCCACCGGCGCAGCGCCCAGGCTGAGCAGGACACTGAGGTCATCCACCAGCAGCACAGGGCCCTTCCAGGAGTCGCTGCTGGAGGGAGTCAGGGACGTCCGGACGAAGTCAAACAAGGCTCTGAGGTCGGAAGCACCCTCACTAGAAGAGAAAGAGGTCTCAAGGGGCTTAGCTCACACATGTGTTGGCGTCCCCCTCCTCACCCACTGTCCCGACGTGGGGAACACCAGCCTGCGCCCTCCCTGCTGTCTATGCTGCTGTGACGGTCATCAGGTCCTACACTTCCCTGCAGTCACTGCTCCTCTGCTTGCCTGTGAGCAAGGAAACCTTCCCGCCCCCCTCCAGGGAGCCAATAATAGTTTGGGTTGGAAGGGACCCTTAAAGGTCATCCAGTTCATCTGGTTCCAACCCCCCTGCCACGGGGGACACCTTCCACTAGCCCAGGTTGCCCAAAGCCCCGTCCAACCTGGCCTTGAACCCTTCCAGGGAGGGGGCAGCCACAGCTGCTCTGGGCAACCTGTGCCAGTGTCCCACCACCCTCACAGGGAACAATTTCTTCCTTACAACTAATCTAAATCTCCCCTCTTGCAGTTTAAAACCGTTATCCTCATCCCATCCCTACACCCCCTGATCCAGAGTCCCTCTCCCCTTTCCTGCAGCCCCTTTCAGCCCTGGGAGGCCGCTCTAAGGCCTCCCCGGAGCCTTCTCTTCTCCAGCTGAACCCCCCAACTCTCTCAGCCTGTCCTCACAGGGGGGTGCTCCAGCCCCCCCAGCACCCTCGTGGCCTCCTCTGGCCCCACTCAAGCAGGTCTGTGTCCTTCTGCTGTTGATGCCCACAGAGCTGGACCCAGCCCTGCAGGGGGGTCTCCCAAGAGCAAAGCAGAGGGGGAGAATCCCCCCCCTTGCCCTGCTGCCCACACTGCTCTGGGTGCAGCCTAGCACACAGGTGGCTTTCTGGGCTGTGAGCTCGCGTTGCTGGCTCACAGGCAGTCTTCCATTGTTAATACGCCCAAATTCTTCTCCTCGGGGCTACTCTCAATCCGCTCCTTACCCAGACTGTGTTTGTACTTGAAATTGCCCCGACCCATGGGCAGGACCTTGCCCTTGGCCTTGTTGAACTCCATGAGGCTCACATGGATCCACTTCTCCAGCCTGTCTAGTGTTTGATCCTGCCACACTCCAACAAATACCCCCTCACCCAGACCCAAAGGGCTGCGTGGTCTCACGGCACAGGGGTCTGCAGGGCTTCAGTCCCTGCCCTGGGTCTCACCAAAGGCCCATCTACCCCAGCATGAGTCTGAAACAGCAGGGAGCCAGGAGCATACAGGAACAGAGCAAGTATGTGGTCGTCCTTGCTCAGAGGCTGCCTGACCCAGAGGTGGTATCTTCCAATTTAACAGCCCTTGGTGGATTTTTTTTCTATCAAATCATCAGGGACACAGAGATAGTGAAGTGAGAATAAAAATGAAAGCCAGCATGGTTAAAGCAGCACTGCTCTCTTGAATGAGAATAAAACTCAGAATAATTTTTTTTTAAAAAAAGGAATAAAACTGTTTGGATCAAATAAAAATTTGACATAAACCAGTTGAGTGCTGAAATAAATTTTCTCTAGACCTGTAACATGCTTGGCAATGAGGATGGGGGTGGAAATTCTTCTAAAATGCTGGAGAAGAGGGACAGAATCCCTCTCCGAACAGCAGGGAGAGACAGGGCAGGACAAGCACAGCAATGTGCACGGCGCTGGCATTCCCCCTCACTTAGATGACCAGCTACTGAGTCCCTGGGCCCCGGAGGGAAGCCCAAAGGGAGCCAGGTCTCAGCTGTGGACCTTGCTGCTGCTCTTGGTGTTGGCAGCAGTGGCAGGGGATGCAAGGGGGGAACCACTCTGTGCCAAGGGCCCTGTTGAGCCCCAGTGGAACCACCAACTGCTCAGGTTTACCTTAGAAACTGAAAAGGACTGGACTGTCCTGACTGCTCCTCCTCTCCAAACATGAAGTCAAGGCAGGACTTGAGGCCTTCCAAGAAGATGAGCTGTCCTCGCTCTTTGGCAGCTGTCAGATTGACTCCCTTGAGAGAGGAAAACGCGATGTTGTAGAGTAAACAGCTTTGGAGGAAGGGTGCAAACAGAACCAAGTAGATCAACAGCCGATTTTTATCAAGTCTTCTCTAAATGTGCTAGTAAAGTCAGTGCATCAGTGAGTCCTGCACAGGGGATGAAATGGGTGGTTCTGTTACACACACTGGCAGACACATTTGCTGCCCTGTATTTTGCCAAGAGATTAAAAAAAAAAAATTATCGTGATTTGGGGGCTCAAACACCCTGGAATTGCTCCTGGGTAGACAGCATCATTGTATGGGAGAAAAACAGCTTCTCATCCAGAGGCAGGGAGAAGATACAGGCTTCTCCAGGCTGCCCCAAGGACCCTGCTGTAAGCAATTTCTTCACCCTCCCTTCTTGGCTGGTGAAAGCCTTTGGTTTTCACTATCTCCAAATCATCGCTGTGGCAATAACGACTCCCCAGCACAACCCACTCACCTGAGCGAGGCACAGCCCAGATCTAGAGAACACAATGGACTAGACACCCCAGTGCTCTCACAACACCTAGGAGAGAACAATGTGGCCAGGGCTCCCACGGGAAGCAGCCTCAGCCCTGATTCCTCTCTGGAGAATGAAGGAGGGACCACGACAAACTGCCTGGGGCCATGACTGAGACTCAAGCTGAGAGAGATTTCCAGCTCTCACCATGAGGCTGACCTTGAGAGCCACGTGCTGGGCATGTCCAGCCCCAACAGAGAAATCCCTGGCAGAGTTGCAGCAGACATGCAGAAGACCCCAACTGGAAATCTAGCTCATGTACTCCTGTCTCATCCTCCTTTGTTTCATCAGCAAGGGCTACTTTTGCCAACCATTCTATAGCTCCTCAGCGTACAGGTAACTGCATTAGTCCACCTTTCAAGAGAAAATTTAGTGCCTGTTACCAACATGATCACACAAAGATATCTCACACGCACTATCATCAGACCTTGGCCAAACTGCATTTCCCAGCAAGAAGTGCAAATTTGCTCAGCTATCCAGTGTGGGTTGCTACCCACATTTCACAACAGGACTGTGATTTCTTAAAATGGAGCCAAGGAGCACGAACACCAAGATTCGCAGCATCTCGGCAGCCCGGAAATAGGGCTGTTGCGCAACGCAGCAGGTAGGTGGACAAGACAGCGAGATAGATGGTTTACGAAGAGTTCAGGAAGGTTTAGCTCAAAGCAGTACTGCCTGACAGGCAGAACCAGAGGCATGGAACCAGGAACAAGGATCCTTGAGAATGCAGTTCCCATATTCCCTGAGAGAAGACATCCCTTCGGGATCCTGCGAGATTTTGGACCCTCCAAAGAAGGTGGCTGAGCAGGACTGGTCAGGAGCAGAGGCAACTCCTAGGACAGCCCTTACCTTAAGTCACGACTAGCTTCTGCCTGAACACTGGAAGAGGCATGCAGCAGTCAGCAGCGCTGGTGGTTTTGACCAGGAACTTTTTAAGCATCACAGAAAATACAGATTTTTGTTTATTTCCTAAACAATCATGCTGGGACCTGCAGGACATTTGAGCACAGTCTGAGTCGCCCAGCAAGGGGAAGGCTCATAGAAACTCTTCCCCCAAGACCTCAAGCACTGAGCAGAGCACTGTGCTTGGCACTGTCCCGACACCTTTTGAAAAGACCTTGGAGGTTTTCCAAGCATTTCCCAGCCCTCACGACAGCCCTGAGAGCCATCACACTCTCCTTGCTCACACAGGAGAGGGAGATGGAGAAAAGCGGTGTCCGCTTCTGCCTCCTACCCCTGTGTTTCATCTGCTCAACCTTCCTGTTATCTGACATTAAGAAAAGGGGCACTTACATTTTCATGTCAGATTTAAAATTTAATAAAAAAAGATTGTAAAGCCACATCTTATGCATTTGATCAATGAGACAATCCCTACGAGGGGGTGGGCCCAGCTGCTTTGTGAGCATGGAATTTCCATGTGAGGACCTCCAGAGAGAAGGCCTGCGTAGATTAAGGAAGAGGTCCTTCCCACAAATATTAACCCTGAGCTCCTCCAAGGCTTATCAGTTACCACACATTCAGTCCTCATTAGAGGAAAGACAGATTTCTACTGTTTTTCCTCCCAGCTGAAATGTAAGGGGAAGGATCCATTCATCAGGGCTGCTGCCAGAAAACACTGTCTACATCCATTAGAAACCAGATGATCAGAGGCAACATCTTGTTAGGTCAATAGTTGGACTGGATGATCTTCAAGGTCTTTTCCAAACTAGACAGTTCTGTGATTCTGTCTTCCATCACAGCCAGGGGATACTTTGACAAGCAGAAGCTACTCCAAGCCAAACGCTGTCTGATATGTGCCCACTCAGATCCAGTTTTTAATAAAATCAGCCCTGAGCTTGCCCTTCCCTTTCCTGGTCTTCCACAGATGCTTTTGGGAGGAAAATGGTCCCACCTACCATGCAAACTCCAGGAAGGAGAGCCTCAGGCAAGGCACTAGTCAGAGTTTTTAGAAATATCCCTTTTGTTTTCTAATACCTTCTCAAGGAACAGCATTAACCAGCAAGTGTTGCAACACACTCTTGCCTCACCTAGTCCACTTTGTCTCCTCTCTCTTCTCCTTCTCCCAGGCAAGCCAGAAGCTGTAATACCCATGAAAGGGACTCTTGCAGAGCACAGGGCACTTTGCTCTCCCTGCCATACCTCCTGCCAGTCCCAAGCCTGGCAGAGCCTGATGTGGGCTGCAGGTGGAGGGATTTGGCTTTCTGCAGGTGATATTTGCTCACTAAAACCGTGCCAGAAAGCAGGGCCGGAACAGAGAACTAAGGGAAGCCTCTTAGGCAATTGCAAGCACACACGATGGAAAAAATTCTAGCTGAGGACAGAAGAACCTTTATGTGGCAGGCCAGGAGTCAGGGAACAGCTGGCAAATATCTGATGTGCCACAAAGCAGGGTTGGGTTGCACGGCAGTCTCACCCACCTCATCCCCTTGTGAATTTTTGGAGCCCACAGGACTCAGCACTTGCTGAAATGTTTTGCTACAGCAGTGGCGAAATTCACTATTAATGTCAATAATTCATAAACCGATTTTAACTTCACTTCAGACATTTCTTCCGGCACACACAAACTCTCTGTATTTCAAATCAGCAAGGAAACAGTCTCCTCTGTTAAAAATACCGAGCAGCTCGGTGTTGTTACACCACGGCCTGCCTGGATGACAGAGAGAAGGGCCACAGCATGAGACGAAGGCAGCCAGGGGCAGTATGCTTGTGAGTCAGACCAGGAATTGGATCCCCTTGGGGCTATAATGTTCCTGAGTGGAGCCAGCAAGTCCAGGTTCATTTTCCAACTGGGAAACCAGGTCCCAAAGAGACCTGGAGTCACCCCACTGCAGTCATCTGCCACAGCAAACCTCTGCTTGCCTCCCAGCTAGCAGCCCAGCTGATGTAACCTCTGGAAGTAGCACAGGAAGCATCAGGACAACTCAGAGATGGTGGAAAAAGTGCTTAAAATGGCCAACGGCACCTTCCTGACTGCGACAGACACTACACAGGTCCCTCCTGCAGAGCCACAGTGCTGCAAGCACCCAAACAGCGTGTATTATCAGCCCTGAAAGCATTCATTATCTCACAGCACCACGCTCCATTATCACTGGGAGCGCATAGACATTATCTCTGGCAATCTGTCATTTATCGATCAAGCCCAGAAATGCTTCTGAAACAGCAGCTCGGTGTGATTGGAGCTGTGAGCTCTGCAACGGAGGGAGCACAACTGTTCTCATCCATCCAGGATGCTGCCAGGCAGGCAGCGTGGCAGCCCACCGGCCTGCCAGTAGTGACATCCCTTCAAACCAGAACCACCGCTTGCCATTTCATAAGGGAAAGTGAAATATTTGCAGGAGAGAACTAGAAATGGAGCGTGTGAGGCAGCTCAAACAGTGAACACAGCTATGGTACAAAGTACAACGATCAGGCCTGTGATCAGTCAAGTGGCCAAGGTTTCCTCTCTAGTGCAGTCACCTGTGGAGAAAGCAGAGATAACCAGGCGATGGTGTCTGGCCTGTGATCTCAGCGCTGTGTCAGGGGACAGGGGAGACCAAACTGGGATAAATAAATTTTTAAAACAAACATTGGATAAATGAGGGTGGGAGCACCGATCTGGCAAGCTGCCCTGGTGCCACTGGCCTTGCTAATGGCCCAGTGTGTTCTCTACAAGGTCATGGCAGATAACATTAACTGTCCCTTAAAGTGCAGATCCTCATGAAAAGATTGGGATTTGCAGAAGAGGAAAAGCGTGAAGCCGGTATTGTAGAGCCACAAACATCCAGGGAAACTTCTTCCTGCAAGTAAAAATACATCACTGCATTTAGCTAACACGTAAGGAACTGGTTCTGGACTGCTAAGACCTGGCAACACTCTGGGGAAGCAGCACGTGAGGTAACCATTACTTCCACTATGTATAAATATTCAGTATTATCACCATATCTCAGGTGCTGCGAGGACCAGATCCACAAAAGATTGCTGTAAATGCTGCATAATATGACCCTGGCTCCACAACCCTTCCTCCCAGGCCTGGGACACCTCATTCCCAGCAGAAACAGGAGCATTCTGAAGTAATGAAGCTCTTCCAACAGCAGTCTTTTTTAAGTGCATAATCTGCTAGGAATGATTACGCATGGGAGATTTAATCTTTGGATGGAATAACATAATGCAGGTGGCTGCCCATGGGATCCTTCCATGCAGTTCCTAGAGAGACTACAGTCCAAGCCCCCGCAACTCTCCTGGTCAAGGCAGAGAGCCAGGCAGCTGGTCTTGAGCCCACCACCGAGGAAAAGGAGATGGGAAGGGAGCAGTCGGTGATTTGGTGAAGCATGCAGCTCACCTAACTGCAGCGTGACACAGCTCAGGGTACTGCCCAAAATCAGGGTTTGCTGCAGCCATGTAAATGACATCCCAGCTGGTCTCTACAGCCACAAATTCTTAAGCAGGTCTATGAGCGAAGCGACGATGCCAAAACCCACCTTTACTGAGCCTGATGTGTTCATTCAGGTGAAGGAGGATTAAGGCAAAGACAATATCTTATGGAAACTCAGACAGATATAAAGAACTCATGTTATGACCTCCAACTCCTCAGAGCTTTGGGAGAATTCACAAGAACCGACCACACAGGCACCTGTGAAGTTATAATGTAAGACTGACTCAGACTTGAAACCAACAGGACAGGGTCAGCTCACTGCTGCAGGCAAATGTAATCCCTTCTCTGAACTCCCCTGGGCAAACTGTATTGTTCTTCTTAGCACCTCCCTTCACATCAGTAACCTGTTTTTGGAAGCATCAGACAGCAAATCATTTTGATTTGCATCGCACGTGTGCTCCAACTAATCCTCATGTTCTCTCCCTTCTCAGACTCTCCCAGGAGGGAGATGACAACAGCACCTATTAAAAGCACACGCACAAGCTGTGCGCTGGGAAATTTCACCACATTAGGAAACGCACCAACAAACATGACTCTGCTTTTAGAGCAGGCAAGGATCCCATTTTTAACAGCTGAATCTCCTACCTACGCCAGTTGCTATGCCCAGTTTCCTGTCCCACTTAGCAAGTTCCCCCCAAGATTTCCTCCTCTCTGCAACACGAAGGCCAGAACGATTCAGTCCTTGCAGAGGCTGGTTGGCTCAGCATGGAGAATCTGCTCCGCATGGGAATTGCAGATTGAGTATCTGCCTGTGAGTTAAAGCTCCAGGTGGAAACACTTCGTTTGCTCGGTCCATTTTGTTTACCTTAGGTCTGAGCTCTCAGACCATTGATCTCCTTTTAAAAGTAAAAAAACAAGTAGTAAATAAAATACAATTATCTAGCAAGCACCGAAACTCAACGCACATTTACAGTGGGGAATACACTGTTACTGCAACACCTGAAAGCGTTCTTCAACACCTAAAAGTCTTTATAAGCAGCAGCACTGTGGGGATTTCCAGCAGCACCAGAGGAGGGAGGACCAATGCAAGCCCTCATCCCTTCAGCCCTGGAAGGTCACCTGGACTTCCCAGTCAGAGCATTGAACATCTGAGCATTGAACAAAAATCAGAGAGATGCAGTTTAAAGCCAGAGCTCAGACTGATTTGCTGACACTGGGAATGACCCTGCCTACTTTGTTTCTCTGTTTCCTCGTTTCAGGGTACACATAATCCTTGCCTGACTCACCATGGGAAGAAAATCTGTAAGAACATACTCAGAGCTTGTGGCTCCTCAGATTGCTCTAACTGATGGCTTGGCCCAGAAGCCAAAAGAAGCATACAGGTGTCCTTCTGAATCTACAGGTCATTCAGCCCAAAGCACTTCATCACAACGTAACCACAGGACAGAGGACAGTCACCTCAGGAGCTCCTGTGCCATACAGCCAGTGCATCCTGCAGGCAAACAGAGAAGCCCAAGGAACAGACACTGTGGTATTTTTCTCCCCAGAGCACTCATGAAACTACATCTACCAATCTGGGCCTGTCTGGGGAATGCTGATCTCCAGAAAACATTTGTAAGCACAAAGAAAACAAGCAGCTGTTCAGCACTCCGCCCCCTCGGGTGGCAAAGCGCGGTGGAACCCTCACAGCGAGCTTCATAGCCAGGATTTTGCCCTATATCACATCTTTTTCTCCAGCAAGAAGCGATCTCCATCCCCTGCCCCAGCAGCACCAATCCTGATCATCCCTGTCAAGATCTGGAAACATTTGCTCACATGCAATTCCTGTTCCCCATTCTCATTCCTTTCCACCCAACAGAAACTACCTGGACCTGTAATTATTAACCTACGTCAAGAGACTTACCAGCTTCTGTGCTATGATGTTATAGTGACTGAAGGACTGGAGCAGGGCCACAAAGCAAACCTTACAGCCAGCTGGATAAGAAGACAAAAAGACACGTTATCATTTTGGTTTTTCAAGCTGCCATTATCAAAGCACATCAATCACAGGAGTCAGGGTACAAATCTGTCTGGAAATGTCTTTACGTGAGACAGGTTTAGGCAGCCTCTCGCTTACTTGTGGCTGGGCTTTCAATTTTCACTGTTGTATAGGATTTTCGCATGAGGGCAAATGTTAGTTTGAAAAGAAAGAGAACAAACAAGAACAAGATGACATTTTAAAAAGTAGGAGCCCCCTTTTTTGTCTTGTGCCATCCCACCCTGGGATCTTGTGGCACTGTTTGTTGATATTACTGCAAGGAGGCCAACGGCCAACTGTGACACAAACTACTGAAACCAAAAAACCCCTGTTTTGGCTCTCATAGGACAAGTGACCTTGACTGGAAAAACACACAGAACAAGCAATTCTGACAAAGATACCTCACTAAAACGTGATTTTAGGAAACCTGACACATGAGAATCTGGCCTTATAGTTTGGGTATGAACAAAATCAGTGTTTGTTTCTCCCTGCCTGAGAGCAGGACATGGAGTGTAACAAGTCAGGGGTCCCAGATGAGCCTTCACTGACCCCTCGGGAGCTCCCAAAAGTTTTGAGCACTAAGCAGGTACTCAGACAACACGGTGGTGTTACAGACCCAGAGTAACTGTCACCCTGGCGTGGAAATGAGAGGGTGACAGCAAGCACACCTGCCTTGAGACATAAGATTAATCCCCAAGGGCTGTGCATCCACAGGGATGGTGAGACCTCCCCCAGACAGATGGGCAGCTCCATGCAACGACTCCCAGGACAGTGCTGCAGTTCAGCATGTCAGCAGAGGCGTGGGGGGATGCAGGCAAACCCTGAGGCAGTGCCTCAGCAGGGCTGTCCCTTTGAACCATTCACACTGTTAACAATCTGCTCTCCACAGGCTCTCCTGCAGGTTCACTCTGTTCTATTAATCACAGAATCCTGGAACGGTTTGGGTTGGGAAGGACCATGGGCAGGCACACCTTCCACTAGCCCAGGTTGCCCAAAGCCCCGTCCAACCTGGCCTTGAACCCTTCCAGGGAGGGGGCAGCCACAGCTGCTCTGGGCAGCCTGTGCCAGGGCCTCACCACCCTCACAGGGAAGAATTTCTTCCTTACAACTAATCTAAATCTCCCCTCTTGCAGTTTAAAACCGTTATCCTCATCCCATCCCTACACCCCCTGAGCCAGAGTCCCTCTCCCCTTTCCTGCAGCCCCTTTCAGCCCTGGGAGGACGCTCTAAGGTCTCCCCGGAGCCTTCTCTTCTCCAGCTGAACCCCCCAACTCTCTCAGCCTGTCCTCACAGGGGGATGCTCCAGCCCCCCCAGCATCCTCGTGGCCTCCTCTGGCCCCGCTCAAGCAGATCCTTGTCTTTCTGCTGTTGGTGCCCCCAGAGCTGGACCCAGCCCTGCAGGGGGGTCTCAGGAGAGGGGAGCAGAGGGGGAGAATCCCCCTCTTGCTCTGCTGCCCACACTGCTCTGGGTGCAGCCCAGCACACAGGTGGCTTTTTGGGCTGTGAGTGTACATTGCAGGCTCATGGCCAGCTTTTCATCCATCAGTACCCCCAAGTCCCTCTCCACAGGGCTGCTCTCAATCCACTCATCACCCAGTCTGTATTTGTGCTTAAGTAAAACAATTTTTTTTAAATGGGGTAAAGCCATAGCTGAAGAAGTGGCAGTTATGGGGGGCAGAATGCCCTTAGCCCCACCACCTGCAGAGCACTCGGAGCTAAACTTCAAGTCTGATTGGTACCAGATCAGCTGGGCTGGCTGCTTTGACAGCAGAAAGCTGGAGGAGTCCATGAGTCCAGCACCTGCTCCTCAGGGGCTGGTCAGTTACTCACAGGTGAAACAGTTAGCAGAAAAGCAATTAGGCAACTTGCCAGGCTCTTTGTTTCTCTACTCACTACCTGCCAGTTGTTCCTGAAATTTTTAATCTCATTACAAAACACCTAGCTGGTGAAGAAATTACAGTCAACCCCTCATTGTCAGATGCTGATGTGATTTACACTGATGACGAAACATGGTGCAGAGACATTACGGGATGTGCCTAAGGAGACAGAGCAAGTCCCAGGAACAAGTCAGGACTGGGATCCATAAAACCTGACCCCAAAGCTTTGCACTAATCCGAGGATGCCTCATGCTTTGCAAAACCAGCCTCTGCTCACACAGAAACACTTTACACTGAAGGAACCTCCAAGGATCAAAGGCAACCCTTGCCTTGGAGAGTCCTGCTGCTGACATACCTCTGAGGTAGAAGGAGAGGAAATGGTGCACAAGGAAGCTGCCATCTGTCCTGGTGTCTCGCAGGAGAGTGAATTTACCCTGAAAAAGAAGAAGCAAAACAACTTAACAGAGGAAGATGGGGGCACAAACTGCTTCCAGTTCTATCTTGGTCAACAAGATGTCTGCTCAGGCTAGGGGAAATTCTGCAGGTATTAGTCAGAGAAAGAAGTGGACAAGCAGTGCCCCAACCACACATCCATTTAGAAAGGGATGGCAGCGCTTCTTCCAGACACAGCCCACAGGGCAGCATCAGAAGATGCTGAATTCACTCTTTCTGGGAGACATGCCCACCAGCTAAAAGCCCTTCTGCTAGTCCAAGACCCCAGCTGGACCCCTATGCTCTGTGCCCACCAAGAGCCACCTCCTCACACCCCAGCTGCTGCAGAGGACACCAAGGAGCAGCACTGCACCTTCCAGTGCCCACCCAGAGCACACACCTATTCGTGCCCCTGGCTAGACACCATTGCTCACAGCCACCCGTGACAATCACAACATCCCAGCTTCATCCCCCTCTTCTCCAACTCACAGTCATCTTCTTTCTACTCCAAGTGGCACAGATGGCAGGGGGACAACAGCCACCCACTCTGTTCCTCGACTGTTCTCCCACTGCCACGGCCATCATCGCCTGTGTGCTTAAAATGGCAACCCCGCTCTACAGCTGCTGCTTTTCCTGCCCCCAAACAGCCCTCCCCGTCCCCTGTTCTAGGCTTACCTCAAACACACCACATGCTGAACACAAAACCTTATCATCAGAATACATGAGCCCTCTGCACAAAGTATACACCTTGTTTTGATCATGCAGGAAATTAATTCATCAGTGTGTGCTTGTTATCAGTACCAGTCTCATCAAGGCATTTGTTTCCATTAAAACCTTAGTCAAAATGTTTCTTTAATCAATACAAATCATAGAAGGGCTGCTTTTAATCACGAAGAACTTATCAATGCCTTTTTTTTTTTTTTCAATCTATTAGAAGAAAAGAAAAAGCCTTTTGGAGCAACGAGCAATCTACCCATAAGCAATCCACAAGCCATCTATCAGAGACAACTCCCCAGTGCCTAAAATGGGTTATAAAGCAGTGCTAATGGAACAGCAAATATTGAACACGTCTGCGGGGAATGCAAAGCAGAAGCCAGGGTAAAGAAGCGCTGCTCTGCTTCAGCCAGAGAGAGCTCTTTCCCACCCAAAAAAAAAAAAACCAAAAAAAAGGGTTATGCCTCTGTGGCCATTACAATAATGAGAGGCACCATGCTGGAGAGCATCTCGCTGAGACATATCCTAAGCCTGGAGGAGTCTCTGGGTTTGAGCAGCACAAGCTCAAACATCCTGCAGTTTATCTTCTGCACGACTCCATCCCCTTCAACTCCCCTCTTCCTCACAACAGCCCGCTGCAACAGCACTTCGAGTGCCCTCCCTCGCCTGCTAGCTCTTGAAAGGCTCTCTCCTTTTCTCCCACACACGCTGCGCAGCACACAGCAGGATGTTATCATTCAGAGCATACAATATTTTGCTTTTTCGAACCTTCCAGTTATCAACCTTTAAATCCTGTCAGCCCTCACTTCGCTGTCACACTGCAGCTGCTTTAGGCAGCATTCAAAACTCTTCATTTCTGATGCTTGGATGCCCAGCTAGCCAGGGGTGGAAATGTCCAACCATGCATCTCCAGAGGCAGAAGAGGCAGGCAAGGTAGGCAAGGCATCAACTCTGGGAAACTCCAGCATCCTGCTTGTGGTCACAGAACTGCCCCAAAGCCTTTACCAACTCCCAAATACAGGAACAGAGGTTCTCCCAGTCATGTCGACACAAGGAGGGAGGCATGCCAAGCCAGCAGGAATCTGCGAGGCTTCCCAAGGTCTGCAAACCCCTGTGGTCATGCTGTCTCCATGCAGGCCCACGCACCTCTTGCACCCATCCCCACAGATGGCACATACCAAATTGTTTAACAGTTGGCTGGAAGAAACCAGGTCCCTGGGGGACCTGGTGGGCGGGTGGCTTCCCCTTGCTGCCAGGCAAGAGGAATTCTGCAGAGGAGCAGGTACGTCCTGGCCCCACCACCACCACCACCTTGTTTACCACCGTGCAGAAAACCCATGGCACCCAATTTGCCACCAGACATGCATTCTGATTCTCTTCCCCATTTTGCACATCATTCTCAAGCACAGATTGATGCTACTGGGGACAAAGCACTTCCAAAGGCAAGGCCTTCTTGTAGCACCTTCTCCACCCTTCTGCCCCAGAACTCTCCCTCCACACTCTGCTTTCACATTCTTTCCACCTGCAGGCTACACAGCAGAAGCTGCAGCTACTTGTTAGAAACTGCCAAAATCCCTTGGCAGGGCAGCAGCGGGTGTCACAAGCACTCAGCAGTGACATGTCAGATACACCCACACAAGCGGCAGCTTCATCCACCTACCAGCCCTGCAGTGAAGGCATTTGTCAGCACTTTGAAATGACACAAACCAACCATAGAGATGCAGAAACCGGGATGGCAGAGACAGGAAGAAGAGATTTGCAAAGGGCTGATGCTTTCAAGCACAGCGGGACACCAACTTCCAGCCAGCCACAGCCAGATATCTCAGCACACCCCACAGACCACATTTCCCAAAGGGGAGAGCCCAGACCCAGACAGCACAGCTCTGTGCAGCAATCAGCGGTGCAGAGGGCAACTTGTAAAACCACCAGCTTAGTCCATACCACAGTGTATGAACTCAATCTTCCAACTCTGGCACCCGGGAACACCACCTGCTCTGCAGCCAGTCATAATCTGGCGCTACACTACTGACAGACAACGCGACAAAAAGGAATCTGGAGCATGTGGTGGGAAGTCCCAGTCTCTGGCTGATGGGAGAGGAAGAGCCAACACAAATCCGAGGCAATTCCTCACATAGAGGTTCACTTCCTCTGACAGGTCCTGCCTGGGCTGCCAAGTCAAAATCCAGGATCTTCAGGCTAAACCTGGTTTTGCTCTCCAGAATCTGCTGTTTGCGTCCTGCCTCTGAAACCAGCACAGTGACAGCACCCACACTCATCCCACAGCTCCACCATCAAACCCACCTTAAAGCACAGGCTCCACTCTGCCAACAAACTCCAAGGGCTCCTCGTTTAGCGTTTCACACGCCTTAAAAACCCAATCATCAACCCACAGGACCTACAGGAACTCGGGAATCCACACAGCCTCAGTGTCGGTCTATCCTTTATGGAGAGTGACACTGCCACCATAGAGCCTTAGCCAGCAACCTCTACCAGGTTTGCTTTGAGCCTCGAGGACCTGATCTCTACCCAGAACTGCTCTCCCAGCTCTTCACCAGCATTTCTTCCCCAGCAGACCAGCTCTGCCCTGCCCTGCTCTGGGCAGGCTGACAAGGATTTAGCTGTCTCGCATTTTCCAGCCTAGGCAGAAAGCTGCCCTACTCACATCGTAAGCCCTACAAGAAGGGGGAAACTCAAGGCTTACAAAATAAATTATCACCCCAAACCTACTTTTTTTAATCGAAGCTAGCATCCATCAGGGAAAACATAATGTGTAACACACGCATATTTTATTAACTTTTTACCTGAACCGCTTCACAGCTCTTTTACAGGGTGAGGGTGTTTAGTTACAGCGTGATTTCATTAGCCCAAGAACTGCATGGATGAACTGATTAGTGGCCCAAAGGAAGAGAAACCTCTGGAAACCACCTCAGGGCCCGGAGGAGGGAGCTTCACCCCCGGCTTTGCTGTTATTCACGTCACGGCAGCGACCAGGCACCAAGGGCTTGCACGGCCGGAGTCCGGCCCCTCCGTAGCGGCTGATACCGGCGCCAGGGGCGTGAGGGACGGCGGGGAGCCGGGGTCGGGCCCTGAGGCCGAGCCCGCCGCCATGCCG